CTTCGATGTTCTCGCAGGCGTGGTAGACGGTCCGGTACTGGATTTTGGCCATGAATTCGTCACGGATGAATGAGAATCTACAGCCGGGCATGTGAACAGTTTCCCAGAAGTGCTTGATGGCTTTACATCGGTTTGCCCGCCCGTATGGGTATGTGTCGTGCCATGTCAGTTCCTTGTTCTAATCATGCATGCATCAGTTACGCATTCAGGTTCCACGCTGAGTTACTCTGAGACATACCTCTCGATCCCAGATGCTGATGGTAAACACCGATTTTTGCGCGCTATTCCTGATATCAATCCGGTGCTTATGGATGAAGCATATGAGGCGATAGCTTGCTGGTGGCACTGGATTTGCGTCTGCCACAGGCGTAGAGAGATCACGGGTGAAGGGCCATAGAGGGATGTATTCCGTGTCTAGGTCGTCGAGTATCTTGTCGTCGAGAATCAGATCAGGCGGCGGACGATTCGTTTTATCCGAGACCTCGGTGATGGGGTGGAAATAAGCCCATACTTTGCGCTCCCCCTGAACTATTTTGGAATAGTTGTAGGCATTCAACGCTTGAGGGATTGCATTCATTCTGGGATAGTTGCCTTTGGCTATAGCTTTGAGAACTGCGGATAAGTCGCCGACATCGAATTCGTCCAAAATGGGCAGAGGATCGTCGGCATCGTGGTTGGATTGGAACGGTAGAGGGACTTTGGCAGCTACTCCAACAGGCATTTTGTAGATGCGATGCAAGTAACACGGTTGACGAGTGAATTTGACTCGGGAACGAGAAGATTAATGGTCTGAAGATCGATATTTAATTCTCATTTTGCATGATTGTGGCTTCAGACGACATCTAGTACACTCTTCGACAAACTCTAGGTAGTCATCGGCCATTCAACCCATTGTTAGTATGAGTCAAGTCAATCAGTTCAGACCCAGGTTGCTTGCACAAACATATTGCACTTCAAAGAAGGATAGAACCTTCTGCAGTAGTCCATTACCTTCGAGGTTCAACATAGTCGCAATACCGGTAAAAGAGTGTATGCCTTGTCGACGAACGATCTTTGATACAATGCTGGCTCAGATAGAAATGAATGTATTTGCATGGTAACGAGTAGTATGGATTGAAGGAATCTCTTGCCTGAACTGTTACTGCGTGGTGCCAAGCCCGGGAATGACGAGTCCAAGGTCTGCCCCGTGACGTCAATTACAGGTAAGATAGCACAACCGCGGTACAAAATAGCTACCTGTGCCGAGATGGAAAACAGAAGCTTCCATTGGACATGGTATATTGCAAGAGATCTTCATTCTCTGGGTGGGAACGGTATGCCGATTCACATACAACATCCGGGTTGGGCGTCCGGCCGGTATGGACCCCGCGGAATCACCGGCCTTAGGAGATAGTCGCTAGAGACAGTGTCCACACACGGTCTCCGAGGGTCACCGAATCGATGGCTATAGTGGTGATAATGCATCCGACCGAAGAGACAGCTTCTATAAAGAAGACGGCATGTCGTACAACCGAATTATTAATTTACCTCATTAGAAACGCACACATACAACCTACTTTACTCATCTACGTAGCTTACGACGCATCCTCGCAGCCAAAGTGCTCCAGGCAATACCACACGTATCATTCTTTCAAATATCCGGAATGACCTACAAAAGAACTATTCTGATTACCGGCGGCACCATTAACCTTGGCTACCACGCCGCTCGTGAGATCGCCAAGGCTCAGCCCGATACTCTCGTTGTCATTTCGTCCAGATCCGACAAAGAGAAAGCTGCCGACAAGATCAACCAATCTCTTGGCCAGAAGAACACAGGTAAGCCATAGAAACAAGTTCACTTGACTTAAACTAATCAATTACAAAATAACAGTTTACATGCCTCTGGACCTAAGCGACTTATCAAACGTACGCAAATTCGCAGAAAACTGGGCGGAGAAACAATACCCACCTCTCCAAGCACTCCTCCTCAACGCCGGTCTCCAATTCCCAGGTGACGTTCAACACACAGTCGACGGCATCGAATCAACATTCGGTATAAACCACGTCGGCGGCGCCCTACTATTCCACCTCCTGTGCCCATTCCTCGCTCCAGATGCCAGGATAGTTCTGACATCGAGCGGCACGCACGATCACGCACAAAACAGCGGCCTCCCCGACGCAATCTACAACACTGCCGAGGAGCTGGCGCATCCCACTACTGAGACTAGCCAGTATAAGGGACGGCAGCGCTACGCAACCAGCAAGCTCTGCAATGTGCTGTGGACATATGCGCTGGCCAGGCGCCTCAAGGAACAGGGAAGCCAAGTCACCGTGACTGCTTTCGACCCTGGCTTGATGCCTGGGACGGGACTAGCGAGGGAAGCGAGTGGTTTCGAGAGATTCCTTTGGATGCGCGTTCTGCCTAATATCATCCCGTTGCTGCGATTCTTTCTGTTTGCGAATATTCATTTGCCGCAGGCGTCGGGTGCGAATCTCGCGCGTCTTGCTATCGAACCTGAGTTAATGGGGGTCAGTGGGAAGTACTTTGAAGGGCGACGGGAGATCAGGTCTAGTACGGATAGTTACGATATTAGTAAGCAGGACGACTTGTGGCGGTGGACTGTGGATTATCTTGCGAAGGGGGATGAGAAGGAGAGGTTTGAGCGGCTGAGATGAGACTGTAGCGCTTTTCGTTATGTATGTTGGTTTTCCTTTTTAACAGTTTATATTCTTCTTCTGAGCTTTGTATATGGTATTGGCGAATTAGAAACACTATAGACGAAACGAATATTTAGCTATTGCGTTACTCTCAACAAAGACATATAGTTCTGAGACTCAACAGAGTATATTGATGCACGAATACTATGACCTAAGCTACTATTCAGTCTCTTAAGTTGCCAACCGAAGTAGAAGTCATCAATCCGATCGCCATATCAATATTGTCGTTGGAGTACATTACATAATGGAACTGTGTTGGAGACGAGGGATGGCGACGCGATAGACCCGATTTGCGCCGAGCCTAGGCGAGCCAGTGACGAATGGCGTTAACCCGTAGTCGCGTTTCCATTTCGCATAGAGCATAACGGGTCTGTGTATGCAAAGCGAAACAGGAGAGTCGCAGTGAGGCCATGTTCCCTCTGTCGTAGCCAAGTACACTAACGAGTGACAGTTTTGAGGAGGAAAGAACCAATAACGCCCAACAAACATAAATCATTGCGTGAGCATAAGTTGTAGTGTGATGCAAAAGCTGGAAAGTTCCGGTAACGACTGATTTGGGTATTCAATTTCCCGCGATCGACTCGAAGCTTGGTGTAATAACAAAGTCCGACCTCATTATCCCGACGTCGTCGACGTCCATATCTGTAGTATAGTAACAACGCTCAAGAGCTAGTATTTCGATATTCGTTCAGAACCACCGAAACTTTCGCCGAGTTGTTGTTCGGGTCGGTCTCTTCGCACTGTTTCGACGAAACTCGGTACATGGGGCAGCAGTACGGGCAGGTATACACCGTCATGAGCACCGTTTCATTGGATTTCCCGTCGCCCTTGTCCACGAGAATCTTGTGTTTCCTTGTCGCCAAAGGGTGGTCTTGACTCTGGCTGAAGAAGCATTCCGTACCCTCCGGCACGGGGCTCTTCTTTCTCTGTTTGGATTTCTCTTTCCCCATGTGTCTGGTCAAATCGAGGGCCGAGTGTCGAGTGTCGACGTGTTACAAGAAGCGGGGTGCCGCCGATGTGGCAAGATCGAGAGCGTGTGGTCTAATGTCGAGCAGCGAGCGTCAGGTTCTGGCTTAGGTTTGGATGGTTGAAAGGTCGCTCGATGAGGTAAATGTTGAGGTAGGATTGAACAAGTCCTGAGATGGACCGGCTCTGTGCTTTTATACACAGGTGTAAAAGTGCAAAACATCTGGAATGCAAGCTACTATGGTCGCGGACCACGGTGCCTATGACACAGCAGGCACCTAGGGGAACTAGCTCATAGATATTGGAGAGTGAATATGCAAATTTGAATAACTGTACAACATGGGCTACCACGATGACACAAGCCCGACAGCGAGGTGGTACACTCTGGAGAGGTCCATGATTATAATTCGTCCTAATACTTTCGTACCGCCAACAGTCATGAGCCAGGCAACCAGGCCTCAGGTCCTGCCTTTGCTGCTAGTGCTGCGAACAAAGAATCCGAGGCTCTTTTGTCCAACCACGTGAGGAACACGCTGGCTTCAATGTTGAAGTTGGGTACACGAGAGCCACGAAATCCACCAATCCTGTCGAAGTTATCGAAAATCAGTTCTTGGTTACACAAAAGACCGGGGCACGTCCCAATCTTATGTGCTACTACCTGTACGTATTTTGAGCCTCTACCTAGGTATCTTGGGAGATTCAGAGCTGCATTGCAAGATCATACTGCCTTCAAAGCCTCCAGCCTACATCTCGCACTCTCATGTAATCAATCTGGTTGAGTCTCACATCATAATCCCAATACACGTTTACGTTTAAACGATCATACTTTCTCGCCGATACTTGTGAGATATAGAATGTCCCGTGGCATCTCAGATATGCTGTTTCTACCTACCTACGTACTCTTGCCACTATCGCATAGAGTCATGTGCCTGCACTTTCGACCTGCACAACAGGCTCCCTATGCGACACAACATTCCAGAATAGCACTGTAGACGGAGTTTTGTATCTACTGTCGCCTTTTTAGCATGCCAAACAAGTTACACGGTTAATTGCCGCCTTCACGAGTCATATTCAGATATGGGCATCGGCCACAGAGTACAAGTTTCATCACTCTCTTTACTTATCATCTCGACGGCCGCGATAGCAAATGCAGTCTTGCAACAGCCCTGGTTTATCTCCGGTTATTTCACGCGAGAAACTCCTTTGACTATCGCGTATCGGCCCAGTTCTACGGTCCAGGCACATAACAAGTGCTTCACTCCCGCCCCGCGGATGATCCGTCGTGTGTCCCTCTGTTATAGCATGGCTTTACAGCATGTCTTCTCAACACAGGAAAAGGTCGGTTAGCTCGGTCGGCAGAGCATCGCAATTACAATCATCCATGTATTCATGGAACAAGAGTTACTGCGGAGGCCATAGGTTCAAGCCCTATACTGACCATATGATTACTTTTTATCGCTTTTCTGTACTCGCCTGTGATGGTAGCCAATGGTGGATCTGGAAAGCTGACGACCATGTTAGTCACAATGCATATCAAGCACTAAGTTACACTCGCCTTAAGATAGTGCAGGAGGACGTAATCACATCGCAACATCTCTTTGAGAGCGAATAGATTTGAATAGCTTCGAGGTTTGAACTCTGTTGTTTCCGGGTGACATTCGCAGCTATTGTGTTGACTGTAGGGTAGCTTGGCTCTAAATGTTTATGACGGCAAACGCCTGGCCCCTGTACAGTACAGGCGTGAAAAACGGGGCCACGGCGGTTGCTTGCACTCGATTTAGGTACCTGTTCCAGTAACTGCCCGCCTAGCGTCCAGGGTTCCAGGGGGACGACACAGCATCCCTACTGTAAGTGAATGACAAACGACACCCGTCGCATCATCCATATGCCCTTGACAAACGGCGAAGCGCAAACCTTCAACCAGACTTCAATCTCGTGTTCAATGCCAGCTTATTGCGCCCATTTCTGCAATCCGTGTATCGGGTGGGAGAACGGTCAACCAATTTCTTGCATCGCTTCTCTCGTATTCACACTGCCCTTGAGGTTGCGCTGGAGACGATCAAGTCAAGCCAATGCTAAGAGGACCCAACACACCTACGAACTGACCTAATTTGACGTGCAGCGAACTGCAATACACGCACCCGCTCCTGACAAGATGTCGGAATACGACTCAGGCGATGACCTGCTCGACGACATCGATGCAGATGACTTGGTGGTCTCTGGTGGCAAGCGTGCACTTTCTTCGCCTACGTACGGGAGTCCCAACAAGCGAGTGAAGCTTGATGATGACGCTGTTGGAAAAGGGAAGAAAGTCGAGACAACCGCCAAAGCGCTATTGAAGAAGAGCTTTGGCTACGATGATTTCCGCCATGAGCAGGTTGGTTTCACCGTGTTGGGACCTGTTTGGCGACGCTATTGCTGATATCTCCATGATTAACAGGCTAGTGCTATCAAATCTACTTTGATGGGGGACAATGTGCTTGTCGTTTTCCCGACTGGTGCAGGGAAGTCGTTGTGTTATCAGGTTCGATCTTACTGTCCCAACCCACCAAGCATGGACTTACACCGCCGCTAGATTCCTGGCATTGCCTTTGAAAAACTTGACGAAGCTGGTTTGACGAATCGCGACCCAGAAACTGCAGGCAGAGGCTCTGGCCTCACTGTCGTTGTATCGCCTCTGATTGCCCTGATGAAGGATCAGGTCGATGCCTTGCAAAGGCGTAACATATCAGCTGCATGTTTGGATTCGACGAAAACTTTTGACGAACAGAGAGACATCAACGCTGATATGCGGGAAGGTCGACTGAGGATTCTCTACTGTGCGCCCGAGAGGCTTAACAACGAGAATTTTGTCCAGAGCATCATGTACCTTCCTGGAGGTATCCGTCTCGTCGCGGTTGACGAAGCGCATTGTATCTCTGAGTGGGGTCACTCGTTTCGACCAGACTATCTCAAAGTCGCACGATTTGTCCAAGAGACCAAAGCTGAGCGCGTAGTGTGTCTTACAGCCACTGCTACGCCGCTTGTTGTGCAGGACATCTGCAAAGCCTTTGATATCAAGGAATCTAGGGTATTCCGCACACCACCGTACAGACCCAATTTAGAGCTAAATGTTGAAGCGCTCGTCGATGTGGACGAGAAGTTTCCGAAGCTTCTACAGTTTCTCTCAGATCACCAGGGCCCGAGTCTTGTGTATGTTACACTTCAACGTGAGGCCGAAGAACTTGCAAAGGAGCTGCGCATACACAAGCTCAGCGCTGCCGCGTTTCATGCGGGTTTACCCGCTCCCACGAAGTCCAAGATCCAAGACGAGTTTATGGCTAGCAAGATCCGGATTGTTGTGGCTACTATAGCCTTTGGCATGGGCATTGACAAGTCGGACATTCGAAACATCGTGCACTACAATATTCCGAGCACTGTTGAGGAATACTCTCAGCAAATCGGAAGAGCCGGACGAGATGGAAAACCCAGCACTTGCATGGTCTATATGTGCAACGGCGACTTTTGGATGAGAGAAAATTTCGCCCGAGGCGATTTACCTTCTCGGCAATCGCTTGAAAAGCTTTTTGAAGATATCTTCTTCCGCCAGCAAAGAGTCAAACTTCCAGATGGCAGCGAAGTAATCAAGCTCTCCTTGTTCACGCTAGGTAAAGAGTACGACATTAGATCAAATCCGCTGAGTATCATCCTGGCAACCGTTGAACTCCGGTACGGTTTGATCCGAGCTATCACTCCTGAATATAGCTCCTACAAGTTTGAGGCCATGCCTGGCTACTACACCGTCGCTAAAGCTGACAAGGCTGCTGAAGCGAGAGCCATCGTTTTCCATGCCAAAAAGGCACAGAAATGGTACAGCATCGATGTCAGCTCGACAGCCAACGTGTCCAAACTGTTTCGCAACGACATCATCAGAAAGCTCAACGAGTTTAACGACAGGGGTCTCATCAAGCTGAAAGCAAGCGGTGTTGAAAATCGCTACAAGATCCTTAGGAAGTTGCCAGCGACGGCCGAGGAAGTCAGAGTCATTACTGATCAATTACACGCCGAGCTATCGAAGAAAGAAGGCGACGAAATGAAGCGGTTTGAGGCGATGATTGGCCTGTTCTTGGGCCGTCAATGTTTTGCGCAGGCTCTTGCTAGCTACTTCGGCACGCAACTACCTTCAGGAAGTTCCAAGTGCGGACATTGCTCTTTTTGTGCGACAGGCAAACAGCTTGTATTGCCCCCGAAACCAAAAGCTGCCATTGACTTGAATGGAATTCGCAAGATCCTCGCGGTTTGTGACGTTCGAGACGATCCCCGATTTCTGGCTCGGGTTGCATTTGGCATCAAAAGTCCCCGAGTCTCACAGCTTGGACTGGACAAACAGAAAATTTTCGGGTCTCTGGAAAACCATGATTTTGAGGTAAGCCATGTGCGCACTTAGCGATGCATTGTGTTCTGACTGACTTGTTTAGTCTCTCTTGAAGGAATTTACCAAGGCCTGCGAGGCGGCTGGGTATAAGGCCTGATGCTCAATTCAGCTGTACCATAATCGCTCATGTGTGGAGTCATGTCACTCCATGTATCATATGTTGGAACTAGAAACGGCGAGTGAAGGTAGCTCTGGAGCGCAGAAAAAGGACATATCGGCGCCTGATCTGGATGCTTGTCCAGACAAGTCGGAACTACAAGGATATCCAGACAGCTAATCACGGCGGGCAGTAGGCAAATTACACGACAACTGGTCGTCTAATGTCGGGTGTTTAGCTAAGTATCACTACGATGTCTAACGGCGGTGGACATGACGTGTTCTCCGAAACCCTAGGTAATGCCGTCCGCATCTCGCCCACCGTGGCCAGCTTATACACGACGTCAGCCCCAGGTTGGGGTCTCGCCCCAGAAGCAGTCGGTGTCTCCTCTAACGATCAAATTCCAGGGATTGGTCGTAATGAGCTATGAGAAAAAGCGGCGTGTCAGCTTGGGGCCAGGAGAGCGTCCAATGTACAACAGTTGCAAACATAATTAATAGAAGTAGAGCATAACTTCACTTACCTGTCCCTGCGCCATACTTGAGTTATCAGGCATAGGACAGTAGTCAACGAGGTACTTCATGGCCTCGGCAATGTCGTCGCACCACAACTGTATGAAACCTAAGTCGTCGTTGCAGACGACAACTGAGGCGCCTTTGCCGCACCAGACCTGTCGGCATTGCTGCGCCGATATGATGACCTCGTTTTGCCACCCGTGGATCACTGAGTATGCGGATGTGTCGCTGTCGTTTAGCAGTGGCTTGATCGGGGCTGGGGGCCATTTGTCTAGATTTTGTTGGCAGGCGGCGTATCCCTGGTTTTCGAGATGGGGCTGTTAGTGGATGGATCGTGTATTGTGATTGTTTGTAGGATTTGCTTACCCACTGACGCTTCGCGATCTTGTCTTCGGGGGCGTTTCGGTCTTGTTTCTGTCGTCAATATTAACAACATGATGATTTGTTCAAGATTTTGCTGCAGCCTTTCTCTCACCGGATGCGCAGAGGCGTCTGCTAGGAGCAGAGCCATCATGGATGACAACAGCGATATAGGATGCATATTTGGTGTTCGTTATTCTGTGATGTAATGCGTACTGATGAAGTGCGGTTCCGAGTCGAGGAAAGTTGGACCACCTCTCGAAAGGATTTATGGATAGTGGCAATGCGAAAAAGAGCCATCTAATATTGTGTCGGCCGTACTGGTGCATCCCCAGACACTGGAATGGAGACGTCACCATGAAACGGGCAGTGCAGCACAGAGTTGGGGTCCGAATCGATGTGACTCGTTGATTTATATTGAAAGATCGCTGTGTCGCACAAACAACTCCATCGTGAGTCACTCGTGCAAGGGGCTTGTTGGCATGTGTTCGATACGTTCAACGCTCACTGGTCAAAGCAAAAGTTCGTTCCATTATCGACTAGCGGCTAGCTGTTTTTATCCAGGGAAGTACTCTGACTTGTATGCCACTCCTGACAAACTGAAAGTCGTACACTCTACTGAGATGAAATAGTGGATGACATTGATTATTCTTATGTATTGTGATCCTGAGGTATCTCGCGCTGAAACAGACAAACCGTTGAACTTTAAACTATCGCTAGTCCAAGATATAGTTCATGATTTGCCCTCTCGTTCGCTTAGATTGCCAGCACGGGGAAAGTGCGGTAAGCAGTTTGCCAATTATTCAAAGGTACTTTCCTAGATTATTCTCATCGAACTGAGCACAGAAGAAGTAGCATAAAACGAAGTCTCCAATCTCTTTTAAAGTGCCAATCATCGTATAACCCATCCACCGTTTCCCCTATAGTCAACAACTCCTAACCGCCATCACCATGACATCTCCCAAAACCCCCAAGACTCCCATGACTCCAAAGAAGACACGTCTACCATCAGCTACGTCTCGCACTCAGGAAAGCTATTTCGGGATGGCCAATT